TACTATTAGTTTATTATATATATATATATATATATATATATATATATATATAAAACTTTCCAAAATATTATTTTTAAAAAATAATTTTCCAAATGTAGAATTTATATAACTTTAATAATTTATATATATATGTTACAAATTATTTATATAAAGACATAAAATAAAATGTAAAGCAATCTATTATATATTTATCTATAGCCATATATTCACTATTAAACTTATATAATTTCTAGATTTTTCTATAATTTCTAAATTATTTTTAAAATAATATTTGGAAAGTTTAATATTTACATGGATTACATAAGAGCGATATATCTTAAGAAATAAAACTATTATATTAATATTTTATATATATTATTATTTATAATATTAATATTTTTGATAAGATATAGTGTAAAACATAAAGAATTTATTCCACATACCTTTTCTACTTCTCGAGCTAATTCCCACCCTCCAAGTTTGACAGTCGTGTCAGATGCAAAATAAACACAATGCGAGCTAATCGCTGTATGGATATATCCTCGCATATGACAATATTTTAATGCATCCGCCAATTTCATGCCAATTTGCATGATTCCTTGTACATTTATTCGTTCCCCTTGTTCGTGCATATAATTGTACAATGAGCAATCGATGGATTCAAAGATGGAGACAAGACCATGTTCATTCGTATATGTTGTGGCCATAAGCAGCAATATATTAGGATGCCGAATTTCACTGTAATCGTAAGATTGCAATTATGTTATAAAGTATATAAGATATCCTAATTATACATTTTTTTTCGTAAAAATGATAGATGATATCTTAATAAAATTCATTATATAGGTTGCAGAATTTATAATAGTATATTTTGAGAAAACTAGATCTAAAAGTTATATATAAAAATTTTCTAAGAAATATGTAGAATATAATTATAAAATATATTGATATATATTTGAAATATATTGAAATATATTTCAAATTTAGAAAAATAACAAATATGTAGAACAAAAGTAAAACACAAATAAAAGATAGAAAATACAGAAACAAATATTAACAAGAATGTACATAATAGTATTCAAAGCTTGAATTAAATAAATGTTTTTATTGTAAAAATAAGTATTTGAGAATTATAAAAAGGTAACTTTTGCAAGAAATATGAGTCACAAAATAAAGAAACAAATTTTGATACATGATAGAGTTGGTAGAGTTTTTGTAAATTTCAATTTTATTCTATTTTTTTGAGATTAATGATTTTAATTAGGTATTTAATATATAACTTATTGATATTTACTATGTAACTTGCATACGAATATAGAAGAGATCCTACCTAAGAATTTCCACGTCCGTTTTTATTGCATCCCGGCATGTTGTTAAAACATGTCTTTTCAACGTCACTTTTGTATTGTGCCATTCTGCAGAAACTAGCTCTAGACATCGATTTTCTGTGCCTGCTATACATCCTATCTCGAATATTTCAGAAGCAGGTACATGTGGTATGCCTGATATAAACTGTGCGTATTTCCGTGATTTTCGATTATCTTTTTGATTAGACTGCTCGGACGTTCTGTTCCTTGGGCAGATAAACAATCCAATCCGGATCGTTGATGTCTCCGTTAGATGTTTGACAGTGATTAGCAAACTGTTGTAATAAATTTCGATAATATTCACTGTAAGAAAACATAAATTTAAATTAATCTATTAATCTATAATGAAGATAAAAAATGAATCTAGTTATAAAATATAACATCAAACAAGAAAATACTATTTATCTAAAATAAAAATCTATTTTATAGTATAATTATAAAATAAAATCTTCAGCATTCGGTCAAAACATAAGAAAAAATATGAATATAAAAAATTTTATATTGTCACTACAAGTTAAATAAAATCTTTTAAAATTATGAAGCTGAATTATTAAATATTAATTGCAATACATGTCATTTATTCCATGCTCCTTTGTTTTCAAAAGTATATGAAATCAGGAAAAATGTTTGCATCATGCAAAAATGTTTTTAATTAAACTTACAAATAATTATTGCCTCATCCTGATGATTTCTATTTTAATAACACTTTAATAACAAATAAGGCAAAGAAAAAAATTATTGCAAAAATAAAAATAACATTTATGCAAATATTTCAATTACAACATTCATATAATACTAGACTTTAATGTTGGAATACCACTTTCTCACATAATAAAGTACAAAATTGAATAAACAAGTATAACGCATTATGCATACATATTAAAATAATATAAAAGCTACAGTCTTTAATTATTTCAATTGATATTAATGTAAACTTATATTAATATATGATGCACTATTATTATAAAAATACATAAAATATCATATTATTATTTTAAATATTATTCAATTGCAAAGATAATTTCATCATGATTTACTCAAAATTACCGAGTTATACTGAAGACATTGTTCATATTTTTTTTTCAAGGATTACAACACAATGAAAACAAAGTATGCAGTTTGAAGAGAACACTAGACGCACACTAGAGACAATTGTTCACACGACTGAGGAAACGAAATGCCCCTGGCAACGATCATAGTACGAGTACCGGTATCGCGTCACGTCGATTATGCAAACGTACGCGTAACCGAGTTTATAATTTTCAAATACAACAAGTGTTGCAATACAAATAGAGTTCTGTGCAATTATTTATCAGTCAACTTACTTATTTTTATAAAAACAATTTTTAAACCTTTTAAGTATAAAAATAAAATTAATAAAAAATAAAAAACATAAAAAATACAAACTTAATCTAATATAAAATGAGATAAGTACAAAATAAGATATAAAGAAGAAAAATTTTATATTTGGCAAAACTTTAAAGTTTGAAATAAATAAAAAATATTGGCTTCTTTAAAATTAAAGAATTTTAATCTAAAAGATATTTAGAAAATAAATTCTTACAAAAATTCTATGAACTATATAATAATTTAGATAAGATTTAATCTAAAATATTAAAGAATCTAGGAAATAAAAAAACCTAAATGTTTATTGAAGCAAAAATATTTTTTGATACCTACATGTTCAAAAATAAGAATAATTTAGATTAATCAAAGTTAAATATTTTAACAAATTCAAGAAAGTATGATTTTTGTACATAATAGATCTTTCAAACAATAGCTTTTTCAAATGTACCAAATACAAATAAATTACTTATTTTCAATTATCAACACCTTTTTCCCTCGAAGATCTTGTAGCAAATTAATACCTGAAACAGCGCGGACTCGCAACTGCCATAATTGTGAAAAGCCTTCCTTTATGATAAAGTGAGATAGTATTTAATATCTTTCCCAGATTTTTGCATAAATGGTATACGAATGTCAATCCAAGCAGCGTGTTTACAAAGTAAAGCGCAACTAGTCGCAGGACCAATTTAACTTTTCGCTTTGTGAGATATTTCAATGCTTGCAGGAATATATTTATTCTAAAAAAACGATTAATATCATCTTTTCTTGTCTACGAAAGAATTGCAGCGAACAATTGTGCGAAAAGGAATCACCTCGTTGCAGTACAGTAAAATATTAAATATATCAAATCGATCATATTTACTGATACCTGGACACAAAACTTGGCAAGAGTCAACTATGCGAGATGTTAATTTACAAATATATTTTAAGATCTTGACGTGTTTACGTGCGTTTCTCCTTGTTCTTTCGTGTACCCATCGTACTAACTCTTTACTGGAGAGGGCATAGCGACATGCGGAGTAATTAACTCGTTATCACACAGAGCTCGCTCTTTTTCGAAATTCGGGGTTGCGATTGGCCGCTTTCGAAATTGAGCCTTCGACTCGATCCAATCGAGGCGCTGCCGGCATTTAGAAAACGCGCGAAAAAACGTCAATGCCGAAAAAAGGACTACATTATGTCGTCTTCAGATTCGATTTCTGAGGATGTTGAACACCTGTTATCGCATTCACGATCACTTGCTTCACGACGAATCGGAAATTCGCGAATTTCAACGCGTTGATCTTACATGCGGAACATTTCAAATGCGCGATCGCCGCGATCCGATTTCAAAAATGGCACGATGACGTCACGCGGACCAAGCCTTGATGAAGCGGCTGCAGTCTTTTTCGGAAGTTGGAATGGTTGGCCGTGAAAAATCGGTAGAGAACTCGCGGCGAAGTTTCACATTGATTTATAAAGTGGACGAGGTCGAAGAGCGCCAAACGATAATCAGTTTTATATCGGACATCGAATTCATCTTCCGAGAATCTACGTAGGTATGTAATTTCCACGATAATCTTTCGATTTGTATTCGCAATTGTTACTGCAAACGTAAAGCGTAATGGCGACGGCGTCGCGAATGTTCGAGATATATCGACGCCGAATATTCGCGAACTTTTCATTAATTTCAACAGGATCTAGTTAACAAGATTGTTTTATTTCGAGAAAACCGTAAAAAAATGGATTTCGTATCTCCAGGCATAATTCGCTATTATAAATTTTTCATAAGTAAAATATAACGCCAATAGCGTCGGAAATGTTCGATGTATCGACTTTGAATTTCGAAAGATTGAATTGTAAGATACCGTGATTGTACGTCAAATTCATCAAATGTACTCCGCGCGACCGTAGCGTTAATCCTACGATTCACTTGTGAGTTGAAACGCGCGATAATTAACGATGCTATTCAATAAGTATCTATGTATGTAGTAATCTGTTTGTGCATGCAGTAATCGGCAGTTATCGCGATTATTTCTACCTTGACCGCGATCGCTGCTGATTGGTTCGCAAATTAGAATTGTGAGACTGTGTAATCATTATTGCTATTTTTATAAAAGCGTGCATGCTTATTAAAATATGTGATAATATTCGATAATGATTGAATGACATGATAATTTTATAGCGGCAGATGGGAAACGCGAAGTAATAAATTGGTTGCTTTGTGCAAAATTATTTACATAAATTAGTTAGTATTTGCGCATGTAGATTTCAATTGGCTAACTGTGATAATTTTTTATTTTACTATTTAACTACAGTCTATTAGTTTCATGGATTAGAAATTGCCGTAGTTATTTCATTAGGATAGTCGCACGATTATGCTTTGTGCAAAATGGAGGAATATTAGGAACAGAAATAAATAATATTTTTATTTTTAAAATATATTTAATATTTATTCCTGTTTCTAATTTCCTCCATTGTGTGCAAAGTTTTATGTGCATTAAAATTAATTAATTCAAATGATATGATCAGATTGATTGCAATTACGATCTACATTAGCTGCAATCAATACTCGACCTGTTTTATCGATTTAGTATTAGAGATTAGTTTCTCCGATACGCTCGTAAGATGGCCGTAGTTGATGCCATGATCGCAAAAATTGCATGCCATATTCAAAATGTAGTTCTGCGTGTTACGAAAAATGAATATCTTGCGCGCGATGTATATCGAAATATCGAGCGATTGTGTTACGAAATTAAAGGATCTTGCAATATATTTCTTGATGTTATTCGAAAACACTTGTTATTGAGGTCTTAGATGATCTGCGAAAATCGCGAATAAAAAATTTCCATTAAAGATTCTTTTAATTTTCGAAGATTTATTCGATATAATTATCATATTATTAGCACTATTTAATTAGCATATAATGCATGTAATGTGTTTTAATGTAGGAATTATGGCAAGGATACAATGAGGATACAAGGATACAACTAGGATACAACATGGATACAATAAGGATACAACGAAAATTTCGCAGAGAATTCTCCTTCTGGAAAAAATGGAAGGATCTGGATGTGCATCGTGGAGCATAAGTCGATTTTGGAATACGCGAGTGAAAAATCATTTTGTGGCGTATGGCTATAATAATGAGCCAGAGCGCACTTCAGTGTTTATAATGAGCAATTTAGTGAAATGTGCAGTGATTAAAAAAAAGTTTCTTCTCAAGAAAAAAATGGATGAAAAATCCATTTCTTCTGAATGTGTACCGTAAATCAATTTTGGAATACGCGAGTGAAAAATCATGTTGTGGCGTATGGCTATAATAATGCCAGAGCGCACTTCAGTGTATATAATGGGCAATTTAGTGAAATGTGCAGTGAATTAAAAAAAATTTCCTCTCAAAGAAAAAGATGGATGGAAAATCCATTTCTTCTGAATGTGTACCGTAAATCAATTTTGGAATACGCGAGTGAAAAATCATTTTGTGGCGTATGGCTATAATAATGCCAGAGCGCACTTCAGTGTATATAATGGGCAATTTAGTGAAATGTGCAGTGATTAAAAAAAAATTTCCTCTC